AGCATGAAAGAATAAATGCCCTCCCCAAAAGAGACTGGTGTTCTATGTCTAGCCAATGGCCACAGTGGCATAACAATCCAAGATTCCTATGTCAGCTGCTTTTATGGAAGGATGCCATTTACAATTGCCACATTAGCCCAATTTTCATTCTGTAAATGAGTTTCATTGTTTTGTCCTTACTCATTCCCACTCAGTAGTGAACTGAGTCTACCAATACCCAGTGCCACAGGTGACAGTCACAGAAATGAGTCATTTTTGAATCCGGTCCCTGGAAGTTCTTGCTAGTGATATTGATGGGTTTACAACTAGCACTTGAAATTATTGGTATTCTTAATTCACCCTCCGTGGGTTTCCCTGGGCTGTGTGAACCAAATGACACAAACTAAATAGCTAAACTAGCCAAAACTTACTGAGCCTGGAGTAAAGGTGCCAGCAGAGCTGGGGTCCTCTGAGACCTGCAAAGGACCCTTCCTGGCCTCTTTCCAACTTCACAGGCATTCTTGGCTTGCTGCTGGCTCACCCCACCCCCTGGCTGCATCCTCATGGGGCAGCCTGCATATCTGCTCTCACAGGCTCACCATCAGGAGGATGCCAGTCTTATTTGATTGGCCCTCACCTGATGCAGTGTGACCTCATCTTCATTTAGCTAATTACATCCATGACTATCCCACATCCACATAAGAGCACATTCTAAGAGACTTGGGATAAGACACTAGCACATGGTTTTGAGATAAGGGTACCATTCAGCCCACTGCATGTACACACACGCACACAGGCACGCACATGTATCTAATTCATTTTTTCCTAATAGAACTCTTGAATCCCAGGTGATTCTCTATATGATTCTTTTTTTAAAAAAATGCCGGGCGGTGGTGGCGCACGCCTTTAATCCCAGCACTCGGGAGGCAGAGGCAGGCGGATCTCTGTGAGTTCGAGGCCGGGCTGGACCGGCAGCCTCCAAAACAATACAGAGAAACCCTGTCTCGTAAAAACCAAAAAAATAAAAATAAAAATAAATAAATAAATAAAATCAATTAAAACGGAAGGGCTCCACTGGTTTTTAGTATGTTTTTCTCTTTTTTTCAGAACTTGTTTATTCACTTTGTTCATTAGCTCCACACAGTAAAACAGATTGGTTAGATATGTTTATCTCAGGTCTCACAAATGAGAAAACTTGAGTGTGAAGTCCAACGCCTCGCTTGTAGCTCAGAGCTAAAGCTTATGGGAGGAAGGGTTAATTTTAGCTCACAACTCCAAGTAACAGTGCATCGTTTCAGGGAAATCAAAGAAGCACAAGCTTGAGAGAACTAGCCGCGTTACCTCCACAGTCAGAAGAGAAAGAAAAGCATGTATACATGCTTGCTTGCTTTGCTCTACTAGGGCTCTCCTCTCTTATTACACTTCAGGACCCCTGCGTAGGGAATGCTTCTGCCCACAGTGGGCTGAGTCACCCAAGGTCAATTAACTTAAGACTGTTCCACAGACATGCTCTCGGGCCAACCCAGCATAGACCCTTCCAGGCTCTTTCCGGGTGGTTATATGTTGTGTAGAACTGACAATTATAGCTAACCATCACACTAAGCTTAATTAAGTTTTCGGCAAAGATCTGTTCATTTTGTCCACTTTTTTTAAAAAACCTCATCTGTGTTCTAGTTTAGCGTGTGTGCGTGCGTGCGTGCGTGCGTGTGTGTGTGTGTGTGTGTGTGTGTGTGTGTGTGTGCAGTCTTCTAATGACTTCCATTTCTATGCCTCTGTCAACTCAGGAGGTGAGCCCTTTGCCAACTGTCTCATTCACTGGTCTCTAAGACAAATATGGGAGATTCCTTAATACCTGCAAGTTAAAGTACTTCATTCTGTTAAAGGCTCCATAGTGGCACAATGGTATATTGAGGTGACAGGAAAATTTTTTCTTTTTTACTTATGTGCACGTATGTGTGTACATGCACCTGTGTGTGTGTGGTGTGTGTGTGTGCACATGCGTGTGTGCATTTCTGTGCATGCTCATGAGCAGCCTGTGCACTCACCTGTGCAAGCATGTGGGAACCAGAGGTTGATGGCAGGAGTCCTCCTCCATCACTCCCCACTTTATTTCCTGAGGCAGGGTCTCTCACAGAACCTGAAGCTTGCCAATTACCACTTTATTTCCTGAGGCAGGGTCTCTCACAGAAGCTCACCGATTCAGTCAGACTGTCTAGACAGTGAAGCCCCAGCATCTGCCTGACTCCTCCACCCAGCACAGAAGTCACAGGCTCACACTCCCTTGCCTGGCTTTTACACACGTCCTGGGGATCTGAACTCACATCCTCGTGCCTACACAGCAAGCATGTTCCCCACTGAGCCATCTCCCCAGCCTGTCAAGATCTTCCTAACAAAAGCATATTGACTCTTCAAAACTTGTGTTTTTACCCTCTCCACACGTGTCCTAAGTTGATCAGGCATCCCTATCAATATTCCGTATGAAAACAAGTCACTCTTCATGTCTGAAAAATCTAAACTTAACCAAGAGCTATAAACTATTGAACTAACTATAGAGCTTTCTAGAAAGCCATTCACTGCAGTCATTCAGAGAAAATGGCCTATTTTCATGTGAGTCTAGGAATTAATCAACAGCCCCAGGTGGAGTCTGGCTTGGTTGTTCTCATTTGAGAGCAGACACATGATTCTGTACTAGCCCTGATTGCTAAGGGGATCCCCCACAAAGCTAAACACCGTGACTCCTAGTCTTTTCTGAGATGGCAGTGACCCATGAACACAGCGTCCCTGAAAGATGATTGTGTTTTACCTTTAGCAGAGGACTCAAAAGGGGCTAAGATTTTGGTCATTTGTTTTCATGTGTTACCTATTTTTGTTTTTAAGATTATTATGGCAAGCATGTTTCACCAAACTTGAAAACTGAAGAAAATACACTGATGGCTGCCATCTGGAGAAGCCCCATGACGCGAGTAGGCACTTTATCATTCCATTTTTAATCCTTGCACAACTCAGAAAGAGCATTAGTTTGTGGTTCACAGAGACAGTCGGCGGTAGACATAGATTTTGTCATCACCCTCACCACCATCACTTCCAACAACATGCCCACGATTTCCACCAATACCGCTACCACCACCACTATCATCTCCGTCATCACCGCTATCATCAGTCGCTTCCTCCCTCATCACCGCCCGCACCTTGCCTTCTCCGTGTCACCTCTGTTCCCCCTATTGTCACCTTTACTGTCTGGTCTCCATTATTTCCACTGTCGTTACCAAAATCTTTACTGTCATGTCTACCATCTCGGCTCCACCCCTGCTGCCATCTCTGCCGTCTCTATCGTCACCTCTTCTGTTACCCCCACCACCTCCACTGTTACCTCTGCTGCCCAGAAGTGTAATCTGGGTACCAACAATCTAGGTGTGATGTACCACATCACCCATCACTGCCGCCGTCACCTCCCCGTTCCTACTCTCATCGTCACCTCTGCTGTCCCCATCACGTCTACCATGTCCACGTCACCTCCTCCGTGTGCACTATTACCTCCTCCGCCTCCATTTCTACCGCCATATCATCCCTCCCTCTACCGTCCTGACCTTCTTGTCCTTGATTGTCTACACATCCTTTCTCCTCTCACACTTTCAGATCCTGGCATGCTTCAACCTAACCTACTCTAACTTTTACTTTCCCAGTTGCCTCGGTAACAGAAAGATTGGCTGGCTACCTTTCTGTGACCTTCGCGGATCATCTTAATCATTCCTTCATCCAACAAAAAAAATCACTAAGAGCATGTGCTGTGAAAGTCACTCTTCTTGGCCTTAAAGGTATAGTGAACACCCATGGTGGCAGTATTTTCTTCAGCACACAAATCTTATTCGCTTTAGTATTCTCTTCACACATGCACACCCATCATTTAAATATCACAGCTACTAGAAAATTGTCAGTCCATGCTTCAGCCGCCAGCTCTCATGGCCTGGCCTCCAAGCTAGATGGAAAGCAGAAGTGATCTGCTCAAGAAGGATACACAAGTCAAAAGGAAAGTCTCAGGCAATAGCCATGAAGTAATTTCTTATCTCTTGTTGCCACAGCACGCTACCGCAGGAAGGAACTTCCTATTTCCATGTTCTAGTGATGCGCGTTTGCCCGATGCGACTTGCCTGAAATGGTCGCACATGGACCTTCTACAGCAAGGACACCTGACATACAAGCGCAGTAGACAAAGGGGACAAAGGGCAGAGTAAACAATAAGCACACCAACACAGCTCTACAGCCACACTCGTACGACATGATCAACAAAAGAAAAGCCATTCTGTTTCTACTTTACGTGTTAGAACAAGTCACCACGTAAGAACCAGATTCTATTACTATACTCTGCCTGGGTTTGGACTAGAAACTCATGAGCCCCTAAAGTCTAATGAAGTCTACAACTACAGGCAAAGATGCCTTAGTGGGTTATAAATCTTCCTCCATAATTAAATCCTATTTTTTTTTACATACTCACAGGCCTTCCATAAAAACCTTTGAATGACTAACACCTAACCCTAGTTTTCCAACCAGAGATGGTCTGTCTAGCCTATGACCTTCATCTAAAAACAAAATCCCCTCCAGTTGATTGTATGCAAAGGGGTATCCTCCACAAAGAACACACTTCTCTACTGTAGGGGGTGGGTCACAGAGTGTTCCCCCAAATGAACCATTCAGGGCTGAAACAAATGCTGAAATGAGTGTTTCTAAATCAAACCATGGGCTGCAGTCCAAGCACCTTTCAGTGCAAGCCTCGCGTAGCAAGAGCAGAACAAACAGCAGACGCACAAACTCTCCTCTCCACAGCTCTGGCAGAGCCAGAGCCCCGCAGCCCCTCAGCCCCTCAGCCCTGCAGCCCCGCAGCTCGGTGCTTCATAGTGGTGTGCTTAGGAAGAACCGAGCCACCTTCCCAACCCAACAGCACGGCTGTTCTAAAGACGGTTAACGAGTACCTTCCTGTCACCCAGCAATTGCTTCTAGATCGGTCCAAGAGGGACTTGACTTACGTGCAATATAGAGAGAGCCAATCCAAGAGCTGCCTTTGGATCCCTGACTTCAGAAAGCTCATAATAGCCTAGAGGCAAGACTGACGATTCCACTCCACGTATCCGCAGCCCTGGAGGCTCTGTGCACATAAGACTACCATTGGAAGCTAGCCAGAAAACAAAGCTATTTCGAAAGAAGGGGAAGTGTCACCTCTACTTCCTCAATTCTCTGTCTTCCTTCTCGTTCTTGCTGAACCCTCCTGGATACAGCACATCTGAGCAGGCATGTCCCCTCTGCCTGACTTCATTTGTCAAGGAAGACCACCCAGTGTGCTCCTTTCCAGAACATGGACAAAACCCTCTGCGGTTTTACCTTCCTGTCTAGGAGGCAATTCGTGAGCAACCGGAGGGCAGTATGAGCAAAGCTTCTCTTGCCTTGTTGGGTTAAGGGCTGGAGAGATGACTCAGCAGTGAAGAACAAACACTGCTCTTCCAGAGGACTGAGGTTCGATTCCCAGAACCCACATCAGGTCACTCACAACCACCTGCCACTCCAACTTCAGACAGCTCCAACCGCATGTCGGGTTCAGACATCAGATTTTATCATCTTTAGATTCAATCATTTCTATATTTCCATCACTTCTCTCCCAGCCATTTGGGATCCATGGAAAGGAAAGCCCAGATGAACTTGCTAAAAGCTGTTCTTAAACAGTAAGTCTTGGGATGGAGAGATGGCTCTGTCGGTGATGTGCCAGCCATTCAAGCATGAGGACCAGAGTTTGGATCTGCAGCTTGCATATAAAAAAAACTAAACACAATGCCACAGAAGCATGCCTGTCTGCCAAGCAAGCACTGTGTCAAGAGAGGTGGGCACAAATACATCCCAAGAAGTTCACTGGATAACCACTCTAACTATTGGTAAGTTCCAGGTTCAGTAAGAGACCCTACCTCAAAAATAATAAAATAATAAGGGGAGATATCCAGTCACCCTCTGGTTTCCATACCCACACGCACATGTACATACACACTTTCTAGTAGACCCCACCTCATAATGACCCACTGCTTCTCAGTCCTGCTGCACTGGGATCAAGCCTCTAGCGTATGAACCTTTGAGTGATATCCTCAAACAATGCCCAGACCACCATTTGCCTTTCACTGCTTAACAGCTTTGACTAACAACAAGCATCGAGCATCTTGTGGTTTCTGTGGACTCAGAGATGCTGAGGACTAAGGGCCCAGTTCCACCAGGTTCTCTGGCTCAAGAGGCTTACACTGGGTGACGTCAGGAGGAGCAACCACATCAAGTCTCGATGGTGAAAGCAATTTCTCCCAAGATCACTCATGTGGCTCTTGGCAGAATTCAGTTTCTCATGAGCGGTAGGACCGGAGGCCTCAATCTAATGACTACTGCCTTCAAGCCCACCCGAGTTCCTTCTCACATGGCCCTCTCCTTAGGACAGGCTGCAGCATGGCAACTGACTGCAACAGAGGGACTGAAGGAGAAGGAGCATGAGAGAAGAGAGTGTGGGTGGAACACAGCTCACTTCTACAATGTAATCCCATACGCTACATTCCCTGTACCGTATGGATTACAAACGAGCCACTTGGTCTTTCCTGCCTCACTAGAGAGCTGGGGGTTACAAAGGGCAAATTGCTGGAAGGAATAACTCAAAGGCTTTATCACAGAAGGGTTCCTGCCGTGATACATAAAACTTTATCCAAACTCAAGCTGCACCTGTCAAACCAAACATCAGTCCGTAGAAGGAATCATTCAGTAGGGAAATCATAAACACGCCCATGATGGGAAGAAAATCTGACCCTTTCATGGGCATCACTGAGCACACACAGCAAGCCTACATTGTCAGATCATAGACCTGACAATCCTCACCAATTCATCTCTAAGAAGGAAGTCAGCATACAGGCTGGAAGAGGCTGCGAGGTTTTGCAGTCTCAATGAAAAGAGTAACTTCTTACCTAATCGCAACATATGTGAGAAGCAAGTGTGGTATTAAGTCACATACAGCCCATTCTGCTTCCTTCATGTCTCCTTACATCTCTCTTCTTCCCAGAGTCCTCTCTGTCCCTGGAAATTCTACCTAACACCTTCCTGCCTAGCGATTGGTCATTCAGCTCTTTATTAAACCAATCAAGTAACATATCTTCACACAGTATACAAGTATCCCCAAGCAATATCAAACCTCTCTCTGTCTCTGTCTCTGTCTCTGTCTCTGTGTGTGTGTGTGTGTGTGTGTGTGTGTGTCTGTCTGTCTCTCTGTCTCTCTCTCTCTCTCTGCCTGCTGCCAGCAGATTAGGATATAAAGTTGACAGCTACTGCTCCAGGTCCATCCCTGTCTGCTACCCACCATGATGATCATAGACTAGACCTCTAAAATTGTAAGCAAGGCATAAGTGAACTCTGTAAGAGTTACTTTGGTCACGGTGTCTCTTCACAGCAATACACTAAGACACTGACAATACACTAAGACACTGAACATTTTGGCTAGAAACAAAACTAAGATTCTGCAGTACATTTGCATGTACATTTCTGTTTCCAGGAGGCGCTATCTTGGCTCCTCCCTGTGTGAGGTTATCCTCTAGCTCCCTGCTTTACATAGGATAAAAACATAAAAATAGCAGAGGCTAACTTCGAAGCATATCTTAGACACCATCATCAAAGCCAACCACAAGAGCTTCATTGTTGTGTGATATTTTCATTGAATTCTGATAAATAAAGTTTGCTTGAAGTCAGAGGGCAGAGCTAGACACTAATTAACTATAGACGTTTGGAGGACTGCAGACAGAGACAGGAAGTGATAAGGCGGGTTGTAGAGAGGTTCTCAGCACTTTTGGATGGAGGAAGCAAATGGAGATTGCTCCCAGTTCTCTGGAACCTTCCAAGTTTTCACCCCAATATCTGACTCCTGGTTTTAATTGATTAAGATTAATTAAATTAACATATCACTTCATTATTTACAGTTACATAACCAGGATTAGAGTTCCATAAATCCTCAGAGCACAGCATCTGACTTGTAGAATTAGAATCTTCTCACAGTGGCTGTACTTCAATGTGGTAGTGTAACTACAGGTTCATCTTTCTCCCTTGCTTCTGAAAAGGCTTCATTTAAATGAAAGGAAACATATTAAAAGGTTAAAGATTCTCAATAACAAACACAGTTCTTCTGAGGAGCAGCATCAGAGCTTGAGAGATGTCAGCAGACTTAAGACATGAAGCTCGTGGGTGAGATGGAAGGTGAGTACAGGCAGGGTACCACAACATCCCAAGAGCAAGGAGGACGGTGTGGTGAGGAACGGCATGTTCAAGGTGCTCACAAATAGAGAAAAGCAGCCTCACCACAGAAGCAAGGGGTTGAAAGTTAGGGGTTCTCCTAAGCCTCTCCTAAGAAAAAATAGGTACAACCTTCACAGCTCCAAAAGAATCTAAATTCCACTCTAGGATTTTGTATTCCTTCCTTCAGCAAATCTTTTTGACTACCATCCTAGATCTGAAAATATAATGGAGAACTTCTCTTCTTATATTTGGATTAAGCTGGAGTTCTGGGACCAGAAACACAACTGTAAAGTATACAGTGGAAATAGTTGTCAAGGAGAAAAAAAAAAAAGAAAATAATGCAAAACAGGAAATACATAGAGTCTAGAGCGAAGGTAAAAATTTGGATGGATAACCTAGAAAATGCAAAGAGGATGACAGCTGGACAAATGACCTAAAGGGAGTGAAGGGGACCCTGGGGACAGCTGAAGGAAGGGCTGGAAACCATCAGGGAAAGACAGAAATGCAAACACCCTATTGCCTCCAGAGCCTTCTGGGGCCAGGAGAATGTGGGATAGCAAGACTGAAGAAGGAAACAGAGAAGTAGGGGGGAGGTAGAGGAGAGGAGAGGAGAGGAGAGAAGAGGAGAGGAGAGGAGAGGAGAGGGGAGGGGAGGGGAGGGGAGGGGAGGGGAGGAGAGGGGAGGGGAGGGGACGGGAGAGGAGAGGAGAGAGGGGGAGGGGAGGGAGGGGAGGGGAGAAGAGGAGAGGAGAGGAGAGGAGAGGAGAGGAGAGGGGAGGGGAGGGGAGGGGAGGGGACGGGAGGGGAGGGGAGGGGAGGAGAGGAGAGGAGGAGAGGTAGGGAGAACAATAGCTCAGCTCTCTGAGGGTCACAATGAGAACTGGGTTCTCACTGACTGACTTTTTCCATAATGGATCAGATAGTAAATACTGTAGGGGTCTGACAGTATCTGCCAGTTGTTCATCTCTGCTATTAGAGTTTAAAACTAGCCATAGGGGACACATTAACAAATGAAGAAGGCCAAACTTTGTCTAACAGACACCGGATTTTGAATGGCATACACTTTTCAGGTGCCACGAAATGCTCTTCTTCATCTTAGTGTATTTCAAAGAGCAGAAAACACGTGAGTGTGGAGCACTCAGCCCCAAATAGGACCTCTCTCTCTCTCTCTCTCTCTCTCTCTCTCTCTCTCTCTCTCTCTCTCTCTCTCTCTCTCTCTCTCTCTCTCTCTCTCTCTCTCTCTCTCTCTCTCTCTCTCTCTCTCTCTCTCACACACACACACACACACGTCTCAGAGATGGCCGTAGAAGATGGGGCAGAAGGTTGTGAGAGCCAGAGATGGAAGGGAGTGCAGAGAAGCAGTGATCGCAAGCATCACGGGGCTGTAGCACGCGTCATCTCAGAGCAGCTGTGAGTACATGCACGATGACATGCACAAGATCATGCTCATTGAAATCCTAGCGTGGACTGGGAAGGGGATCATAAGGCCCCACCCCTATGGGGAGGAGCTTTAGTCCCATCCCCCGCTAAAAAGCTTTTGGAAGTTGAGTCCATTTTCATCAGGGATATGGCCCCCTGTAGGTTTCCTATGCTCCACTAGATGGCGCTACATTCATGCACATGCTGGCAGCACTAATTGGACTGCCCCTGTAGGCTTAAGAAAAGAGCACTGGGGTTGGAAGAGAGGTTGGGGGATCTGTATGGAGGAAGTGCAGGAGAGTGTAAGATAGCCATGATTGGATACGCTGTATTCAGACATGACATTCCCAAAGGATACGCAATATGTATGTATGTATGCATGTATGTATGTATGTATGTATAAGTAGAAATATATATATTT